CTGGAATTAAGAACTTTTCTATCTCTGTTAACGCACAATTAAATGGACAATTACTATCTTAAGAGTTGCAAATCAAGACCCTTGAAAGACATAATAAGAAATTTAAAAGATATAAACAGAAACATGTGGAAGTAGGTTGAGTGAGGAATAACAGAAGCATTCACCCTCACCTTAAGATAAGGGCACATTTGTTCAAATATCTTGAGCATGATAACACTTGACTTCTGTAAAAACATTCATTGCAAAGTATTTCCAGTGTTTTATGAACATTTATTGCCAATGTCCAATGTTCTTTTCTTTACTTTCAAGTTGCTACCATTTCTACCATGGGTTGTAGCAAAACTCATCATAAAATGCCTCCTTACAGCAAAAGACTCCCCCCTCCCACCCACCATAGTAACAAGAACAGGTAGGAAGAGAAACAGCAGAATCATGCACAGCTTAGATTCCAACATCTTAGCCACATTTATGGCAAGAAAATGGAGATAAAAAACGGCTGACAATCCTTTAAAATTGCCCATAACGTGACATTGTTGGCCTCCTGTATCTAATTCTGAATTCTCTAAATCCTGTGTTTTTTCTACATAAATCCATATGCAATTCTCTGAGTGTTTAAACATGTGCCTCTTAAAATAATCCTCAAATCCCACAGCAAAAGTCAGGGGAAAGTTCTAAAATGTTCCTACTTGCCTGTTGCATTCATTCCTGTTTTGTAATGAAACCTCAATAACATCAATATATGTTCAGGGATTGTGACTCCTGATTGGGGAAGCCAAGCAGAGAGGTGTGTGGTAGAGACTGGGAGTGACCCAGGTAGTTGGATCAATCAAAGGCATGTAAATTGCTACCTTGTTGTAGTTCCAACTCCATCATTATTTTGCCAGGAGCTTGGCTAAACTCAACAGGCACGGAAGTAAGGGATCGTCTCTGTTCTGTTGGTCTCTTCAGTTCAAGAACTCCTTGAGTCTTGAGTTCACTAACTTGGAGAACGCAGCACAATTAATGCAGAAAGGATTCTTCCTGAACTACAGAAAAGGTATTAACATGTTTATATATAATTCCAAAACTGTGTTAGGCAAATTTTTAAAAATACGCAGATATAGTAAGAATGTGATTTGATACTATCCACAAATTCCACTGAAAGATAGAAGAGAGATAGGCTACGCAAGAAATCATTAGATGGGTCCCCTTGTTACCCTTTTCTCTAAATACCCCATTCTTATTTTCCTGGTTCTAGGTCAACATATCCTATTGCAAGATTCTGTGATTTTAGTTTGCAAAATAATCCAGAGCATGGATTAGCAAAAATAAATTATAAACTCTAGCTCCATAAATCAAATCAGAGACTTCCTAACATAAGGCTGGAATCCACATTTGAAGCACAGCTCCAACTTGGTCTCACTTCCCAAGTGTCAAAAGTGCATCTCAGAAAACATTCCGAGCCCAAAACATAAGTGCAAGTTGTTTAATGCTGTCAAAGAAAAATAAATCAACAGTAATATTGGGACTGGGAAATGGACAAGAAGATCTGACAGCACAAAAACTACAAATAGTTAGAAACGATCGTAACAGGTGCCAGAAAAAAAAAATTATGAATCTGGTTGTGTTTCTGTACTACATGTTCCAGACTACTTGACAAAATGACTTTAATTTTTAAAAAAAGGAACAGTTCAACTCATTTACCCAGAATAAATTTTCTTTCCAGACCCCTTTATATGCTACACAAAGAGTAGATTTAATAATCAATAAAATAAATTATATTCAAGAAACATTTTATGGCAAACATTTTGACAAATGTTTGAAATAACAAATGTTATTCAAAAGTATGTCTAATTATCCCAATTCTCTGAATGAAGCTGACAAACTGAGAGTGATTTCAATTGTTCAGCTTTTTTGCATTTCAAGACCATCATTTATAAAAACAAGAATATTTTAATCTAGCACAATAGTCACCAAAGAATGATTTAAACAACTTATGTGGAAAGATCTTTGATGAACAGGATTTACTTGCAAGCTTGCTTTCCACTAAAAATCTATAGCAGACCCAAGATCTTTTTTTTTCCCATTTCAGCTACCTGCTCTGCAAGTATACCTAAATACCATCTGTTATTGTAGTGTGCCCCTCTCACAGTGAAAGTAATATTTTAACCTACTCTATATTTAAAAATGACAAGGCAGAGTTGTGAGGAGTTCCCTTTCTCACTCTACAACTTGCAGGGTTTTCTACTTTTCAGAATGAACCATAGCCAGTTACACATTCACCCATAACCTGTTCAGTCTTGGTTCCTGTTTGAGTATCAGCCCTCTCAGAACCATCTCCTAGAAGATGAAAGGGAAGTCAGTTTCTTTCCTTATTGAGCTCAGATACAAAAATCACAATCTCATTTGTTATTGGGATAACATGGAATTGATTTTCTCATTATCTCTCGTTAACCTCTCACATTTGAAGGCAGAGCAATCCAGGGCACCTGAGCAGTTGGGGCATCTTTTTTCTCTTTCACCATTTCAGAGATGTTTAAAATGACACATCAGACAGGAACAAAATCAGCAAGTGGAAAAATTATAGAAATGGTCAAATATGAATATACTAAGTAAACCATAAAACGGTATAGATGCACAGACAGTGTCATCTGTTTTATTCACAAATGTCAGATGCACAGACAGTGTCATCTGTTTTATTCACAAATCTCCCTATGACCTAAATAAAACAGAGCCTGACCCAGGAAAAAGGCATGAATGAAAGATAATAAATAATAGTAGGTAACAAAAATAATACCACCGAAGCACATGCAAGCACATAAATCACTTAATTAAATGATACTGTATTTCATTAATATGCTTTAAAAAACTGTTATTTGCTCATTCAACATTTACACATGTAAATTCACCAACTTATGAGAAAAAAAGAAGTAGTAATCAAAACGCAGAAGTTCTTAAAATTCACATTTCGTGATTCCCTCACAAATTGGAATCTAAAGAATCAGAACTGGTTGTTCATTAGCATTTCAGAAAACAGTAGCTTTTCCATAACCTTATGCTCTGCTACATACCCTCAGTCAATATTTCATCCTCATCTAACTCACCCCCCACCCTCCCATGAATATTGTCGGCATTCATTATAAAACAGTATCCAAACATTTTGGGAGGGGAACCTGAAGCAATTTTCAGAAAAACTGCATTCTTTACCAAATTATTAAAATAAATTAATGTAAATGCTGATCTTAAACAGCATGTTGGTTGTCACAAATTTACCAGGCCCTAAAATATTTTTTTTAGTTTCAAAAACTAAATTTAAGAATGATTTTAAAAAATAAAGGTTATTTGCTCAAATGAAAATGAACCCAGGAAGACATTAAATCTTTATGAAGACACACTATTAAGAAAAATTTAGCTCAAACTATATTGGAATACTTCAAAGGGAAATGTAAATTCTTATGTCATCTTAATTATTCAAAATATCATTTTTGCATTTTAATACTTTAATAAGGGTTCAAGAATGAACATGTTCGTGAAGCATGTTCTCAACAGTTACAATATATTGAATGAAATAAATAGGTATACTAAATTATTTTGCAGTTACTGAAATGCCTGCACTTGATTAACATTTAAACTAGCTGTAAAAGCTACAAATTTAAGAATTCTTGAAAAACAACTCCTATGGATACATCATCAAACCACCCAAAGTCATTAAAATCACCACTTTCCTGAAAATGTTGTTTTTATGAAACAACATCATTTACTAACTCTTGTCTACTTTATACATTTTTAATTTTTCTCATAAGTCAGAAAGAGCAGAGTGGAACAAATTTTCAAGCACATACATTCTGCAGTAACTGTATTTGTTCCTCTCCAGAGATGCAAAAAAGATTTTCCAGAGTTCAGATTTTACACTATGTGAAAATAATAATTCTGCTCATATAATTCTGTTTGTTCCATTCATTTTGTTCAGTAACCATTTCAACCAGAAAGACCAGGACAAGTTCGAAACATGTTAAATTCTATAAAACCATTAGCAAAAAAAAAAGTTGATCCAACAGTTTACTGGGACAATGAAGTCGGTTGAAAAAGCGTCTCTTAGTCATTCCGGACAAGCCCATCGGGATTAAAAGAATTAGTTAAGATCGTGTAAGGACAAAATTTTTTTTAAAAATCCCAGTGTATCTTATTTTCTGTGTCTCTATGAGGTGCTTCCTTTTTTTCACTGCCAACTTCAGCAGCTAATATTTGACTCAACGGCCTGCATCCCAGTGACACTGTTTAAGTTTCCTGGAATTAAAACAAACCCAAGCTGCTCTTCTTCGGGTAAATTCCCATTTATCGGTGAACTTCCCACTCCAGGTGCCAACTCAGTCATTTCAGCAAGAAAAAAAAAGTCGGCCTCGATTTTCCTGCCGCCTTCGGGATCCACAATATAAGCCTGGAAAGTCAAAACTCTTTGCAACGCTCCTTTCCAAAGATCGTTTTGAACAGTTGAGACTGTCCTAACAGTTGCCTAGACAAAAGCCCCCCACGAAGCTAACATTGCCAAAAACTTTCCACCGGGCTGATACCGCACGGCCCCCTCGGCCGGGCCGGCAGAAAGACAAGCTGAACTTGGGAAACCCCGAGAAACTGGTCCAGCAAGGCCAAACATCCATCCCAAGTCAGGGGCTGCCCTTTGCTACTAACTGCCTCCAAAGGTTTCACAGGAAAGGCCAGGGAATCAAAGCAGCCCTCCACTGGTTGAAACAAGGGGACACAGAGGAAGATGAGGAGAAGTGGGGGGCCGGAGGGGGACAAAAGGAGGCAGGGATCACAGTGAACAGTAATCACCTCTTTACCCCTACATGGCATCGCCACTAAAGCTCGAGCTGTGCTAGGCAGGTTCCGAGCCCGCGCGTACTGGGGCGCACTGCGGCCAGGGCGCCCAGGGCGCGGTGCGCACCGCGGCGCGCGCGCAGATATAGGGCCCGGCGGCTGGAAGGTGCCGCGCGGAGACTGCTGAAGAGGGTCTGGCTCACCTGGCGCCGAAGGCTGGAAGGTACAGTCTCGGTCCCCCGGAGCCCGGCCTGGTAACCTGGCGCCGTCTGCCGCAGGACTGAGCACTTGGAAAGCCCACCGCGTGCCAAAGGGCGCCCCGGCCGGACTGACCTGCTCTGCGGCCGGGCACAGCTTGAGAGGTACCGGGTTGGCCGGAAGGGGCCGAACCTGTGCGCCCGCGGCCGCCGCGGTGGTGGGGGGCAGGACGGTCGCCGGGCCGTGAGGCGCGGGGGGCTGCAACCCGTGCGGCTGCAACCCGTGCGGCGGGGCGCCCCCGGCCCGCAGCAAGTTCTCGATCAAGAAACTCTTGCCCAGGTTGCCAAAGCCCGGTGCGGCAGGGAGGTTCAGGAGCGCGGAGGAGGCCACCACGTCCCAGTAGGCTCCAGCGTGCGCCGCCACGGCGCTGGGGAGCATGGTGCGGCGCGGGGGATCAGCTGCGCGCTCGCCTCGCCCAGCGCACCCTGCTTGGAGCCCCGCGCCGTCGCCAGCGCCGCAGCCTCCTGCGGGGCTGGAGCGCACCAGCTGGGGGGAGAAGAGGGCACAGAGGACGCCGGCAGCCTGGGAAGGATATTATTTATTTGGGTTGGGCGTTTTTAAGGGATGGGAGGAGTGAGAGTGGGAGGGGGAAGCCGTGTGTTTCCCTAACCCGACCGCGTAGGCTCTGGGGGCGTCCAGGGAGTCCCTCCTGCTCGCTATGCAGATCCGGGTAGGAGTTTTTCTGTAGCAGGCTGGAAGGTGTGTCCAGACCATCCATTCATGTCACCAGGCCCACAATGTGACAGACGCAGCCGGCAGCAAACGGGACAGCCCGAGATTCTGCGCTTTCGCCTGGGGAAGAGACGCGCGGCGGGAGGAGGAGGTTGGCGGAGGTGCTGTGTTCCGGTGCAGACGCCCCCTTCCAGGGGCGGTACTGACTGTAGCCCTCTCCTTAGATCCCGCGCAGCCCCTGGAGCCACAGCTCCTGAAAACCTGCGAGGATCGCCCTGAGGGCAGCCCGAGCTCCCCAGGTCAGGTCTTCCAGAATCATCGGCACCCAGGGGAAGTGAGCGAAGTCCCCAGTGTCGGGAAGGACTATAGTCTGCAGAGAAACTCACACTGTTGCTTGAGTCTGTTATGTCACACAGGTGGAAAGTTCCATTGTTGGAGTACTTAATGTCCCCTCCTCCCCCCCCCCATTTTTTTAAGGGGAAAAGAATTATTTTATCCTTGAACACCTTTTAAGAAAAGTGTTTCCAGTGACTCACTTCATGAGATTTGATTTCGGAACTACTCAGAAGTTGGGATCTGATAGATTTTGACCTAGAGAAGCGGATCTTAGGCGGAGTTGGCAACTGCCAGGTGATCGGGTTCAAAGCATGGGAGAAAAGCCATCCCCAAGGTCTTCGACCATTCATGGTTGGGTCCTTCTATAGGGAGACAACCATAACTGACTGAAGAGCTCAGTGTTCTTCCCACCCTCACTCTCCCTATCCCCTAGAAATTTGGGTACTTTTCAGTTTAACAGTCTGCTAAGTAGAGAATGGACTGGTGAAAAAGGTGTGTATGTGCACGCGTGTGATTAAAGTCTGACCACAAAGCAACAAAGCCTTAAAGCTAAGTGTTGACACTACCGTGTCAACACTTGCCATTGCCAACCTCCTAAGCAAATTTAGATGAATTTCTCTGGAATAGATTTTTTTTAATGGATGCAAAGTTTGCAGTCACATGTTTGTCAAGTTTTCCATTTTTCCAGAAAAATAATTCGATCCCTGGCTTCGGTTCACTGAAAACCTGGCTGGAGTTGCCAACCAGTAAATTCCCTTTTAAAAAATTACCTTTAAGTGAATTGGTTGATTTGTGTTTCATTTACATGAGATTAGTCTAAAGCTTTTAGAAAGTCCATGGTCTTACCTGCTGCTAAATGAGAGGTTCATCTTTCCTGAACCTTTCCTATTTAGTGAATACTTTAGTGAATACTTGTTTCTGGTGTGTTCTTGGAATGCCAAAGAAGTGGAGCTAATTTTAGGTTCCAATTGCTATAACTCTCCTAGCCTGTATTTCTCTCATCTCCACTCTCTCCTTAGTTCGCTGTAGATCTTTTCTGTTTATTTTTATGATTCTCTTGCTTGCATGTCTAATTAATGAATCTCAACTCCTATCGATAATAAACTAATACAACAAATAGGTAAGTCTTTTTTTTTTTTATTTAGGTACACATGCTTAAAGGAGTTCACTAAGAACTGGACATCTCTGTGGAGTATGAATCTCTTCCCTCTTCCTTCATGATCACATAATTTCTTCCCTCTGGAATTCTCTCTGTGCCTGGTGGGAAGAGAAGCCTCCATAGCCTGGTTGCCAGGGCCTTAAGCAGACAAGCTCCAGCGTAGAATGCTAACCTCTTGGTAGCCCCTAAGTCCTGCTCCAACAATCAGAAAGTCCTGCTCCAACAATCAAATGTGGAACTGAGTTCTGACCTCAACTAGAGAAACTTTAAGGGACACAGTCTAACCTCTTTAGTAACATACTAACAATCTGACCATGCAGGGTGACACAAGGTGAAAAAAAAAAATATTTCTTGATATTTCAGTAGATTCTCTCCACAACCCACCCACTCATGATCCAGGGCCTTTGTCAGATTATACCCTAATCCTTAACTGAGAAGGGAAAGTTGTCAAAGAAAAGGGTATGAATGAGTTAGGAGTTTTTTGGGTACCTTCCATCATTCCAGTACTTATTTCTCAGTTAAATTCTCTACAGTTATACGCTTCCTTAAATATTCTCTCATTCCTTCCTCCCTACTCCATCACCAAATACTCTTGAGCCTTTGAAATAATTCTGAAAATCTGGCTCCCCTCGGAAAGGCATTATAAATATGTTTCCAATTTTTGATCTGGCAGGACCTAAGCTTTTATTGTCTTCCTTTTCCTGCACATGTCCTTTCTGGCTGGCCCCGTTGGCTTTTTCTGTATTATTTTGCCATGCCTCAGACATTGTTCATCTCCGTGCCCTGCATTCTACCTTCAAACTCTCTTTTACTGACTTTCTTCTGTAACTGGGAGGCTTCCCAGTTTCTTTCCAGGCCATTCAGTTTCTTTGGCATTACTTGCTCATTGATCATTTCTAACCACTTTTCCACTTGTCCTGCTTTGCCCAACGTGAATGTGACACCGCTGAGAGAGAGGTTTTGAGGAAATTGCTCGGGAAGTAGGTGAGCATCCCTCTTTTTAACTGTTTCTTATTCTCTCTGCATCCTCAAAAGCACAGGTGCGTTTTTGTCGCAAAAATCTTAGAGTTTTCAAGTTTGACCTGAATTGCTGCTTTAGACAGAAGTGAAGACAGGGCCTCCCTGGTGGCCTAGGTGTTAAGTCTCAGCACTAGTGCTGCCTGAGTTCAATCCCCAGCCAGGGAGCTGGCCCACATAGGGCTTAGGAGACCTCTCCTATCTCGCCTGCTGCTCCCTTTCAGCAGTGGATTTCAGTAGATCTGCCTATTCTGCTCCCCATGCTGTCTCTGGTGAATCCTGTCACCCCCCTGTATCTCTCACCTGCACCCCAGTTCTCCAGTTCTTCTATGCAATATATATATAGATATATATTTTTTAAAACTGGAGACACATCACATAAAGAATTTTGTCATATGCCCAAAAGTTGACACCAGAGTCCTTTCAGATGAACAATAAAGCTTTTATATTTACTGCCAGAATTATAAAATTCATGCAAAGAAGTTAATTCCTCGTGAGGTTGTACTCTAAGGCTGTGAGACCAGGCTCTTGAAACCACATTTAGATGTGTAAATCTCTCTGCTTAAGAGTGTCATTCTCTGCTGAGAATTTGCTTTATGTAAAATGTAATAAGCCTTTTGGATAAATAAATGAAAATTAATCCCTAACGTTTGGATTTTTTTTATCTGCCTATCTTATTGTTTCACAATTTTGATTTATTTGGAATCATATGACAAATCTTCTGAAGAAAACATTGTTTTCAGTTCAGCCTATGACATGGGGTGGCATAATTTTCAAGTATTATTATTTTCTCAGCTTCTGTGCACTAGGACTCTGGGCAGCTTCACAGAGTCCTCTGACTCAGCGCCTCTCACAGGCTGTAGCTGAGGACTACAGGCATGGTCTGCTTCCAATCTCACACAGGGGTACTCAGCAGAATCCAATTCTTCACTCACTTTGGGCCCCACCAGCATTTTTACTATTTGCTCTCTGCTTTTCCACAGGGAAGCTCACAACATGACAGCCTCCTCCTAGCAAACTGAAAGAGTAAACAAGAGGTAATAAAGTAAAAGGAAAAGTCTATTTGTAATCTAATCTCAGAAGTACCATTCATCAATTTTGCCATTTTCTGTTCATTTAGAAGCAAGTCCCTAAGTAGAGCCCAGACTCGTTGTCACTACCAAGAGGCAGGAATCACTAAGAGTCATCTGAGAAGCTACCCTCATACTTGGAGACCATACACAGAGGCTGAGAGAGGAAAGTTCCAGAAAGCAGAATGGTCAGCTGAAAGAGTTAGATTAGAATAAAACCATCACTACTATACAGTGGTAGGTTACAAAATCAATGTATAAAAATCACTTTCATTCCTATACATAGGAATTGTGTATATATATATATATATATATATATATATATATATATACTCCTACAGATAAAAACAAGCTAAAAGAACAATTTCATTGCATCAGAAAGTATTAAATACTTAGGAATAAAACTTAACAAAAGAAGTGAATGATCTGTACAATGAAAATTATAAGTCATTGAAGGAAATAAAAGGTACAGTTACAAATATTTGGAAAGACATTTTATTGTTAAGGTGTCCTTCCTACCCAAGGCATTTTTTTATTTTAATATAGTAGTTTATTCTTATATCATTTTGTGCCTTTTTCCATCTCAGTTGTAATCCCTGTGGACTTCCCATCACCAATTCATCCGTGTGCCATCACCATAGTGCCGTGCATTTCCCCCAACCCACTTTTGATCCCATTCCCCACTCCATCCCATAAAATGTCGTTCATTATTACTTCTCCCATCCCAGTCCTTTATGCTCCTGCTATGAGTGAAACCATTCAGTATTTTTCTATTTCTTTCTGGCTTATTTCACTAAACATGATCCCTTACAGCAACATCCATGTTGCTGCAAAAAGCTTGAGTTTATCTTTCTTGATCGCTGAATAATATTCCATTGAGTATATATGCCACATATTTTTTTTTAAAGATTTATTTATTTGTGCATACAGAACTGGGGTACAGGCCAGAGGCTCAGGGGCGGTGAGAGGCTTCACCAGAGACAGAGTAGGGAGCAGAACAGGCAGATCGACGAAGTACACTGCTGAGGGGAGCAGCGGGCGGGTCAGGAGAGGTCTGCCACGCCATGTGGTCACCTCCGGGGCAGGCGGGAATCGAACTCATGCGGAAGCGGCTTTAGATTCTC